TTCTCCACCACCACCACCGGCATGCATTTACTTTAGCTGCCTCCGGTTTCACCCCAGTGCCTTTTTTCCGTTTGCTCTGCTGGTGGACCCTCCCAAGTCAAGCTAGCCCTCCTGCTTTTACTATTTTGGCCGCCCCATTCCTGTACCCAGTATGGACTTAGAACCATCTCGGAAGGCGGTGCCTTTTATCCGTTTGCTCTGCTGGTGGACCCTCCCGAGTCAAGCTAGCCCTCCTGCTTTTGCTATTTTGGCCGCCCCGTTCCTGTACCCAGTATGCACTTAGAACCATCTCAGAAGAGCAAAGCCGGAAGGGACCCTCTGGATCATTGAGCCCATCCCCTGCTGAGGAGGCCCCGAGGGGGAATCGAACCCCCAACCTCCAGCTCTGCAGCCAGAGAGACCTCCACCCCAGAGCTGCCCGGCAGCCCTTCTTCCCTCTCCCTTAATCTAGTTTCAATCTATTCCCCCCCCCCCACGTGCACCAGGACTTTGAAAGAGCAAAATGAAATCACGGACAGTGAGTTGTTTGCGCTGGTTTCTTGGCTGGGTTGCCGAGAGCAAAAAGGGAGGCTCAGGCAGAGGAGGCGAACCTTCCTGCTCCCCATCTCATGGCATTCCTCCGTCTCAGAGACGTACCACTCAGACGGTTTACGCCACCTTCAAGCTCTGCTTCTCCCCTTTCCAGCTGTGTCCAGATCTTTAAAGCTTGCTGCCTTCCCTCGCCTAGCAGGCGTGCAGGTGCTGTTGATTTGCAAAGAAAGGATCAGTACGGAAAGGCCTCGGCAGGAGAGAGAACCAGGGAAGGTGTGTTCGGAATAGGAGGCTCTCCAGGCACCCTTTCCTTCTCGAGAGAGAGAGAGAATCAGGCTGCTGATTGAGATGGGGAAGCAAAACTCTACACATTTAACTTGGATTGAACCCACTGAGTTATTAAAAAGCTACAGTATTAGAAGGAAGGAAGAAAGGTCTGTGGAGGAGGAGGAGGAGGAGTGGGGCCTGCAGGGGCTGGAAGAGGAGGCACCGGGGATGCTCCAGAGACCTGGTTTGAATGGTGTTTTGTTTTGTTTCTTAGGCACAATGGCAGGCAGAACACAAGGGGGGCGGGGAGGCTGTTATGGAAACAGGAACGGATTTGGGGAGACGTCGGCGCGTGCCCGGTCGCAAAGAACGGGCGATTTCTGTGTGTCTTCACAAGTTGCTGAACTTAGCGGATGAGCAGAATGTGGCGTATTTGGGCTACAGTTGTGGGATTTTATCAGGGACGTGGGTGGCACTGTGGGTTAAACCGCAGGAGCCTCTGGGCTGCAAGGTCAGAAGACCAGCAATTGTAGGATCGAATCCGTGTGACGGACTGAGCGCCTGTCGCTTATCTCGTCTTGCCAACCTAGCTGTTTGAAAGCATGTAAAAAGGCGAATCGATAAATCGGTACCACCTCGTTGGGAAGATCACGGCGTTCCATGTCTAGTCACGCTGGCCACGTCATCACAGAAACTCATCAGATAAACGCTGGCTCTACTGCTTGGAGACGGGGATGAGCGCCGCGCCCTAGAGTCAGACACGACTGTACTAAAGGTCAAGGGGAACCTTTACCTTTTACCTGTGGGATTGACTGGCACCGAGGTGCCTCTCTGAAGGGGTTGGCAAGCTTCACACAAAGCCAGCGATCAGTCAACGGGCAATGGCGCTTTCTGATGAGCAAAGTGTTTTTTTGTTCTCTGCTTATAATCTCTTAAGAAGCTTCATTCATATCCTTCTTTGTTCTAGAGGTTACCCCTGGTGTCGAGGTTTCGCTTGGAGGTCAGATACCTTGGAAATAAAATGTTCGGGTCGACAGCTTATTCCTTCCAAACTTTTTGTTGCTGAAGAAGATAACTTCTTCGTCTATTTTGTGTATGTTATCTTTGTCTATTTTGTGTACGTTATACCCTTGTTTTCTTTTAGTGAGCAGGAAATGGTATAAATATATCCTACTTTTTAACCTCTGTAGCAAGCCTTTGAGGGAGGTCAGGCCAAGAAAATGTGACTGACTTAAGGCCACACAGTGAACTTTGTAGCCAAGCAGAGATTTGAACCATGGCTTCCACATCCTTAGCCCAGTAGGGAGCGTTGGGGGGGTTGTGAAGGGAGGTGTCCTGGCACCCTTCTTGTACTGCCCTTGGTCATAACAGTGGCAGAGATGCTACTTCCTCAGAAATAATTGAAGAAAAGAAATGGGAAAGTTCCCAGGGGGAAGGGGAGGGGGGGAGAAGAATGGATAGGGGTGGGATGGGGTAGGTAAGGGGAAGCAGGACTGGGATTGTCAGCTCCAAGAGTGGTATAATGAAGTGTGGAATATAGCAGTCAATAATAGAAATTGAGCTTAAAGAGGGAGAGATCAAGATAAATTTAATGAAATGTGGGAAGAATTTATAGAAGCTATATTGTGAAAAGGTCCAGGGGAAAAACTGGCCTATGAATATATATATTTTTGGAACAGTTTTGCAGTGGATAAAGGAGATGGAACATTATGATTATAAGAAAAAAATAGGTGAGATATAGTGTACTCTAAGGTGAGGGGTGTACAAGTATTTCCATTTATTAGTCAAGTTTATGTGTTAATACAACATATATTTGATTCCAAGGGGAAGATGCTTCGGCCAGTGCGGGCTGGCCTGCAGACCTAACCCAAATGCTGTTCTCCGTTGCAGGTTCCTTTCCCTAAAGCGTGTCCCAGAACAAGGCAAAAGACCTTCCGCTTTGTCCAGAGTCGGCCGGCGTCTCCTTCTCTTCGATTCGTCCCCATTTCCACGGCGTGGAAAAGCTTGTGGGCGGTGGACGACCGGCTCCTGTCGTCAAGGCGTGGGATCGCTCCCTGAGAATTCGGCTTCTCTGAGGCGTCACCTCCGTTGAGAAGCTGAAGCCCCTGCTGTGGAAGCCCCGGTTCCTTTTCCCCAGCATGTCCGAAAGCTGGCCC